ACCTCCTATTTACCTTATTCTCCGCCGACGAGCGGGCGCTGCCATTTGAATCTTTTTGTCTCGCGACTTCCGGTCACATTCACTTCCATTCATTTTTTTGACGTTAAAAACTGCTCGTTACGCTGCTTGATGAAAATTTGATATTTTCTTATTATATTGTTCTACTTGGTCTGTATAGTCATGTAAACATTTGTTTGTAGAGCAAGTAGTTTGACCATTTTCTGCCGTTTATTATTCCTAGTCATGTCTCCCATAGGCGACTGAATCAGAAGTTGTAAGACAATCGCGAAAACAGGCGCACTTCTGCATTTTAGAATAAGGTCAATAGGGCTTTAATGGCCACATAAGTGGACAGCACATTTCAGCTCTTAAGTGGCTATTCAAAATACTTTAAATGTTTTATATTTTGTTACAGACATACAGTGTCATCCTGAAATGTCCTCTAAATGTAACTCTATTTTTAACTGTCGAATATGGGGAAAAAAAATTAGTTTTTACTCGCTAATAGTGAAAACTTGTTAAAAAAAATATGATTATGTGTTATATATGCATAAAAAAACAGTCAGGAAAAAGTGTTTTATGTAAATTCAGACCTCGAGTTCACATATATGGACATCATTATCAAAAGATGTTATTTAGGTTGTATTCTAATTAGTTTCCAATAAGCCCAAATAGCAAAGAGAAATAAAAATACATGTAAAAAAAACAGCCTGGGCCTTAAGAGGTTAAAATGTGTAATTAAAAAAAGAGCATAGCTAATATTTAATCACATTTTAATGACAAATGTAGCTTGTGCCACTGTAGCTGAGGTAAAAAAAATAATAATTTAATGACGCTATTATAAAATTCCAGACATATTTATAATGGCTTTATGACTATCATGTTTATGACAGATTTTTGACAAGTTTTGTTGTCTTTTGTAATGTCAAGTTGTCATGACAAAGACAAAAACAGGTTGTGATGTACTTGTTTATGTCAAGTTGTTTTAAGAAACAATGTCGTCTTTGCATTTAAGGGCGTACTCACACTGTACAGTTACTGTACCATGAACCGGGCTGAAGCACGCTTGTCTCCCCTCCCGTCTTCCTCGATGGCCTGCACTTACATTACATTCGGGCCTGGGCACGCTTACGTCATTGATGATCATTGTGCTCAGTACAATGGGGATTTCTTTATTTATATTGTTTTAGTTTTTGTCTCGTCTTCAGTTTCGGGCTCTGGGGCACTTTGCACTCGCACTACATGTGTACCGTGCCTGAGCCTAAGCGAACCACGCTATGGCACACCTCTTTCAACCGGGCCAGGGCCGACCAAGTAAACCGCGCCTGAGCCCAATTTAGAGCACTCACACTTCTCAAACGATCTGGGAAAAACGGCCTGAGCATGGTTCGGATAGCATAATGTGAGTGCACCCTAAGATGTCATAACTGAGCAATTCATGTCAGTTGATATAAGCATGCATAAAACCTCCTTCATATTCATTCAAATTTAAATTATATTTGTCACATACACAGTATGATTTGCAGTGAAATCCTTACACAACCATTTATGAAAAAAAAAATAAAAATAAAAATAAATGTACAAATTTAAAAACTTTAGACATGGAGTATGTGCCAGTACCCAAAATGTACAAAGTATAAAAATATAAAAGAGCTAATCTGTACAAACATGGAAGTGCCTGGTGCAAATTCATATGTACTGTAGATTAGAGTGTGTATGGGTGTGTTTCCATGCAGCAAGTGTATATATACAGTTGAATACAGAATTATTAGCCCCCTTTGATATTTTACTTTCTTTTTTAAATATTTCCTAAATTGTTTAACAGAGCGAGGACATTTTCACAGTATGTCTGATAATATATTTTTTTTCTGGAGTAAGTCTTAATAGTTTTATTTCGGCTAGAATAAAAGCAGTTTTAAATTAAAAAAAAAAACATTTTGTGGGACAAAATTATTAGCCCCTTTAAGCTAATTTTTTCGATATTTTACAGAACAAACCATTGTTAAACAATAACTAACCTATTTGCCCTAACCTGCCTAGTTAACCTTGTTAAGTTGCAGGATGTTAATGTCACTTTAAGCTGTATAGAAGTATCTTGAAAAAATATCTAGTCAAATATTATTTACTGTTATCATGGCAAAGATAAAATAAATCAGTTATTAGAGATGAGTTATTAAAACTAATATGTTTAGAAATGTGTTGAAAAATCTCTTTGTTAAACAGAAATTGGAGAGAAAATTAAACAGGGGGGCTTATAATTCTGACTTCAGCTGTATGTGTGTGTATTGTTGTTTTTGTTGGTGTATATGCAAGGATCTAGTTTATATGTGTGTGCGTGTGTTTATGTGTGTGCATGCATTAAGTTTATATGTATAGACACACCCCTAACCCTTCCCCTTATTGAAGGATGAGCAAATTGTAAAATGTACGCATGAGATAACACAAAAAACACAAATTAACCACTAAATCAATGAAATTGTGGTGAGATTGCGTTAATTCTGACCAACATTTTTATTCTTAGTTTTCATTTACTAAAACAAGTTTGCATTGTACAGTGAAGTTTCTCCCATAGTTCACACAAAGCATCACAGAACTTCGGAAAAGGGTAGATTTTAAGGTCTTGATTCTCTGGATTGTGTTCTGGATCTGACACTCCACAGACAGCTTCTTATCATGAGCTTATTCACATCCAGACTTTTGCAGTGTTTTCCCTTTGCAGAGTTTCACAAGTCTGAATAAGGGCTCAGGCTGGCAGTTTGTTTATGCAGACGCTCTAAAAGGCCATTATTCCTCATTTACACTAACTGTGAGGCCCTGCTCTCCGTCTGCTGACTTTACGACACACCGTTTATTCAGTGCTGCTGCCACAAACACACACTTAGGTGGTCAGAGATCACACTGAGAGAGTCGATGAGTACCTGTTGTAGCTTTAAAGGTGAAGTGTGTCATTTCTGCACCACTAGTAATAAAAAAGAAGAAGAAAAATGTGGAAAGTTTGCTTTAGGGCTGAACAATGAATCGTTTATTTGTACATCAATATAACAATGTGTGTATGCGCAATTGTCTCATAGCAAGATTTGATTATTTATGGAAGATTAAAAGATATAGATGTTATTAAATATACATTATTAATTGTTTATGCAATGATGATTATTCCATTTTACATTTGTTCAATTTCTGTACTTAAGTACTGTTAGACTCCCTAGAAAACCATAAAGCACTGTTTGTTTATTTATTTTTGCTTGGGATCTATTAAAATGTATGCAGATGGCTGCATAGAAAAAGACTTGGGGCCCTATCATACACCCGGCGCAATGTGGCGCAAGGCGCGGCGCAATATTTGTTTGCTAGTTTCAGCTTGGCGCAAGAGTCGTTTTAAGGCGTTCTTTAAATGTCAAATGAATTTGCGCTTATATGTGTGTCCATAGGCGTTCTGGTCTAAAAAAGCAGGCGTGTTTTGACGCGTTGCTGGCGCCTTGCTATTTTGAGAAACTGTAATAGTCTTTTCTTTAGACCAAAACAAACCCGGTCTAAAGTCCGGCGCAGAGTGCGCCTCGCTTACACTGCTTAATACACAAGATGTGGAGCAATACGCAAATATCTTTACATTTGAAAAAGAATAAAAATATTAAGGATATATATTGGATATATAGAATATAAATATAAAAAACTAAAATATTACAAAACCTATTATTTTCTAGCCTACATGAATTTAAAAACCACTGCCGTCATACTTTCTTCATCTCGGGAGGCTTTTTCAGTGTATTCAATTTGCTTTTGTGTAATGTTATTATTATTAGCAGTATTATTTATTATATCCATATTTATATTTTTTTTATTAAAAACAAGCTTAGATTTGTCCACCTGCAGGTTTTAGACCGTATGGGGCATAGCAGGTGTATTTGAAAATAGCTCAGTGTTTTGATCACACTTTGTTATTATTGTTCATTTATTCGTTTGCTGGAAATTAGAACTTAATTAAGAAATAGTTTTGAAACAAATCTTTGCGATTAACAAACGAAATTAATTATTTATAGGCTAATTGATGTCTGTGTAAAGGTTTCCCTATCCACGAGAGCAAAAGCGAAAGTGAACTTGCTTTACGTCATGTAAATAGCAAATGCGCTTAAGGCGTGACGAAGTTGGCACTTAAAGGGAATGGGAGATGAGACTCTGATTGGTTTATTCTCAAAACACCCCTTTAACTCATTAAGAAAATAAACTCAACCCTTTTAGATCTTGCGCCACGACGCAAAGCAGATTTTTCCGTCCTTATACTAGAAAATATGGATTATGACACACCCTGAATGCGTTTGCGCCCTGCACTTTCCGTTTTGCGTATGGACCGTCAAAATAGAGCCCTTGATCAGCCCAGTCAATCTTAATCAATGAAATCTTTCCAAATAGAGCTATTTAAATCACATGTTGAAATTGTATTGATATTACAATATACAGTTAAAGCAATAACCAATAAAATAATAAAACGCATATAAAATTAATATATTTTAAAATCTTAATTATTACTGCACATCAGTAATAACCAAAAAAAATTAAAAATAAAATATCAGCTTCACATTTTCATGTATTTTAAAATATATTATTACTAATAATAATTACTAATATTATTAATTCATATACAATTTCTGTTTTGCCTTTTAATATATTTTAAAAACTTTTAGTTTATTTCTGCACATCAATATTAACCAATAAATGTAATAAAAGCCACATAAAATATCAGATCAATTTCAAAATCTTATTTATTGCTCCTCATCAGTATTAGCCAACTAATAAAATGCATATAAAAAGTATTAATCTATATAAAAATAAAACATTTTATAACATAAAATGTGAGACCTTATAAATAAAATCCAATCCTTTTCTTCAGATTGTGAGTTGAATTATGACCTCGACATGTTCTTGACCTCATGCTCACGTCGTTGTCGGTCATTAAAACCCAACCGCTGCCTCATTAACTCTGCTTTAACCTTCTGGTTTTACAGGAGGAACATCATCATTGTGAGCTCCACTTGTGCTTTCTGGTCCACATGACTGCGCAATGCAGCAGCGCTGAACCAAACACCAACACCTGTGCTCTTGGTTAAATCAAGGTAAACCATAATTGCATCATTTATTATTAACAGAACCACACATTTGCTGCATTTACAAGGCACTCGAGTTCTCCATCAGGACGTCCTGCTGTGCGTGTCGGGCTCTTTTGCAAATCAGATGGTTTCTGGTTTGTGGATGGAGCCTGAGGAGATTATTTACATGCCCTGCTGATGGTTTTGTGTGACGTTTAACTCTTTGTTGTCTCGTGCAGATGTCATCAGCCAATGCCAATGGAGTCGGGAGCTCTGGAAATAACCGTAGAGAAAAAACATACAAAAAGGTGCATCAACTGTTTTTCAGTCTTGTGTTTGTTGCTGAAATATGGAGAATGCTATGTTTTTTTGTGTGTTTGTGCATACATACAGTTGAAGGCAAAATGATTAGCCGTCCTGTAAAATTTATTCATTTCCCTTCAGCTTAGTCCCTTATTTATCAGTGATCGCCACAGCGGAATGAACCGCCACCTATTTCAGAATGTTTTAAGCAGTGGATGCCCTTCCAGCCTCAACCCAGTAGTGGCAAACACCAATACACTCCCACATTTACACACACACTCATACTCTATGGCCGAGTTAGTTTATTCAATTTACCCATAGTGCATGTCTTTGGACTGTGGGGGAAACCAACATGGGGAGAACATGCAAACTCCACACAGATATGCCAACTGGCCTTGCTGGAAGCTCGAACCAGCGACCTTCTTACTGTGACGCCACAGTGCTACCCACTGCGCCACCGTGCCACCCCCTTCTGTGAAATTTTTAGACTTTTTCCAAATATTTCCCAAGTGATGTTTACCAGGGCAAAGAAATTGTTAACAGTATTTTCTAGAATATTTTGTCTTCTGAAAGAAGTCTTATATCTTTTAGTTTGGCTGCAATATAAGTACTTCTTAATTTGTTAAAACAATTTTAAAGTCAATATTATTATTCCTTTTAAAATGTTTTTTTCTTGCCTAGTTAACCTAATTAACCTGGTTAAGCCTTTAAATTGCACTTTAAGCTGAATAGAAATATCTTGCAAAATAACTAGTAAAATAATATATACTGCAATCATAGAAAATATTTTTAAAAAAGTTATTAAAACTGTTATGTTTAAAAATATATGTTAAAAAAATCTTCTTTACGGGCTGCATGGTGGTGCAGTGGTTAGCACGTTCACCTCACAGCAAGAAGGTCGCTGGTTCGACCCTCGGCTGGGTCAGTTGGTGTTTCTGTGTTGCGTTTGCATGTTCTCTCCATGTTCACATTGGTCTCCTCCGGGTGCTCCAGTTTCCCCCACAGTCCAAAGACATGTGGTATAAGTGAATTGGGTAGGCTAAATGGTCCATAGTTTATATGTGTGAATAAGGGTGTATGGATGTTTCCCAGTGATGGGTTGCAGCTGGAAGGGCATTCGTTGCTTAAAACACATGCTGAATAAGTTGGCGGTCCATTCTGCTGTGGTGACCCCAGATTAATAAAGGGACAAAGCCAAAAAGAAAATGAATGAATGAAATCTTCTTTACATTAAACAGCACTTGGGAAATATTTACAATATTTATTTATTGTTATTATTATAATTTAATTATTGCTATTATGTTATATTACTATTATTATTGTTATTTATAAACATAATGCTACTGTCATTTATTCATTCATACAGTCATTCCTTTATTTATTTATATTATTTTTACTTTTATTTTTACTTTTATTTGACTTTTTTTTAAATACATTTGATACATCAAGGTAACCATAAAGCCAACTATAAAAAATGTTTGCATTATTTATCTCATGTTTATTTTATTTTAAGTAAAAAATAAACAATTTTAGTTTTATGGTATTAGTTGTCATTAACAATAAAATATATTATACATAATATATTTTACATTTTTCATTTTAAAATGTATAAAAAATAAGAAAAGGTGATGTCAGAATTTTAGCCCTCCTGAATTATTAGCCCTTCTGTATATTTTTCCCCAATTTCTGTTTAACAGAAAGATTTTTTCAACACATTTCTAAACATAACAGTTTTCATATCTAATCCCTAATAGCTCATTTAATTTATCTTTGCCATAATTGACAGTACATAATGTTTTACTAGATATTTTCAAGATACTAGTACTAGTATACAGCTTAAAGTAAAGATACAGCTTTAAAAGCTTAACTAGGTTATTTAGTCAAGTTAGGGTAATTAGGCAGATCATTGTATAATGATGGTTTGTTCTGTAGGCAATTAAAATAAAAAAAATATATATATAATATAATAATTTTATAAACTGCTTTTATTTTAGTTGAAAAAACAAAACAAATAAGACTTTCTCTAGAAGTAAAAATATTATAGGTAATACTGTGAAAATTCCTTGCTCTGTTAATCATCATTTGGGAAATATTTATATATAAAAAAAATCACAGGAGGGCGAATTATTTTTCACTTCAACTGTATAGAATTCCAAATGTAAAAAAAGCCTTTAAAGTCATGACATTTGCAACTAAATCAGTGTTTCAGGGTGTCATGTTGATGAAACACAAAATATCAACAAATCGTTCGCCAGTGCCTGTATTGAGTAAAGAATGAGCTTTCCACTCGCTGTTTGCAATGACAAATCCAGCATGTTGATGTTGTAAATGTTGGTATTGATTATTGGTGTAACAGATCACAAATCTCACGGTTCAGATCACATTATGGTCTTAAGTCACGCATCTGATCATTTTTCAGATCAGCCAAAAAAGGGGAGGAGACAAATGTCATTTGCTTTCATTTATTACAAAAACAGCACTGCAAAACACTTTTTGTTTTAGCAAACAGAAATTGGAGATTGTAATTTTATTACAAATAAAATGAAAAGATTATCAGATGAATGAAAATAAATAGTGAAATTATTCAGTACTGTAAAAGATTCACTGTTACTACTGTACTAACTGTTGCTGATAACGCTAAATGTATAAATCTAGCATTATAATTTGTACAACCCATATTTTATTTTATATCTCATTTTTAATAAATGATTCAGTTATTCACTCTTAAAACATGTTTCATTACTAGATGTGTCATTTTTGAAGAATTATTCAGTGGCATATTTTTGATATCTGGTTGTCATCACCTATTAGTTAAAGAATGTAAATGCTGCCTACAACTTTCATTTTTAAGTATCAAGATAGATGCATATGATGGTGATTTTAATCTTTACCATAAACATCAGTGGTTTTATCTAAACTATAAACTGTTCTCCCATTACTTCTGTGTTATTTGACCCCAACTCAAATGACTAAAGACTGAATCTCTTTCTTGATTTTGTGTTTTTCAAACAAAGATTTGAATGCAGCAAGGGGAAGGATTAATAAACATATGCAGATCACCATCATTTATAATTAATGTTGCATGGGTGTTGAGATCCCGATCTTTTAATGATTAATCATGTAGCTTACACTGAATGCATAAAGGCAGGTCAAACAAGTAGTGATAAAAAACACCTTAAATGAAACCCACCACCACATCCCGAATAATCTACCACGACTTCTTCCATCATCATTTTATTTTACAGGAAAGCCTAAATGAATTCATACATGTGATTTGAATGACATGAGAGGCGATCTCTCTGCAATCTTTGAAAATTTAAGATTAATAACAAAAGAAACAAACAAACAAAAGAAGTATTGATCCGCGGGTCATGTGTGTTCTAAACTGCACAAATCATGGATCTAACGTGATCCATTACACCCAAGTATCAATGAAGAAAACCCTACCAATGAACTTTCTAGAATTTTTTGGCTGATCTAATACTTGACGTGACCCACAGCTGTCATTTATTCAACCAACTGAGATTTAGGAAGGCAGGTTTAGTCTTGCGTGTCTGAGAAAATGACCTCAAGAAACCCACATAAGAGCTGGGTTCGAAATGACTAAGCGCTATGCTAATTTGTTTTGCTTTTTTATTATTGTTGCAGACTACTTCATCTGCTCTAAAAGGAGCCATCCAGCTCGGCATCGGCTACACCGTAGGGAATCTGACCTCAAAACCTGACCGAGATGTGCTCATGCAGGACTTCTACGTGGTGGAGAGTGTGTTTTTACCCAGGTATGGATGGACACAGGCAGTACACCAGTGTATGTTAAACGTGCTGCTGTCAAACTGGTGTGAACGTTTCTTAAATTCCCTCCTATAGCATTTAGTGTGGTCAGACAGCATGCTGTCATTTGACTCTCAAAACAAGTTTTTAAAGGGACAGTTCACGCAGAAATGACAGTATGCTGTTAATTCACTCAAGCAATGTTTTTTACATTCATTTTCTTTTCAGCTTAGTCCCTTTATTAATCAGGGGTCACCACAGCGGAATGAACCGCCAACTTATCCAGCATATGTTTTACGCAGCAGATGCCCTTCCTGCCGCAACCCAGCACTAGGAAACACCCATACACTCTTGCATTTACACACATACACTATGGCTAATTTAGTTAATCAAATTCATCTATAGCACATGTCTTTGAACTGTGGGGTAAACTGGAGCACCCGGAGGAAACCGACATGAACACTTGGAGAACATGCAAACTCCACACAGAAATGCCAACTGACCCAGCCGAGGCTCAAACCAGCAACCTTCTTGCTGTGAGGCAACAGTGCTAACCACTGAGCCACCGTGCTGCCAGCACATAGTATACAACTGAGAAAATCAAATATGTAAAAATGAAGAGAATTTTACATCAGGAACCATTATGCTTATCACTGAGCCATCGTGTCGCCCAATGTTTTTTTATTTATTTATATTTTTAGATTTTTAGCTGAAACTATTTTTAGCTTTTTTTGGGGGGGAATTGGGGGGGATTTATAATATTCAAGTTATTGACTACCAGCACTATGAGAGTCAAAAAAAACTAATACAGGAAAAAAACTGTGGCTACTGACAAATATATTATATTTGAGGTCTTATAATGCTAATCAATCAGTTCTTGCAAGAAATTAAACATTATTTACAACATTTATAGTTTTAATCCAACTCCTTTTCAAATAAGGACAATCTGATTCTTTCCTATGAATTGTAAAAATGCAAACACTTTGTTTTTTATTATTATTAACTGATTTACCCAACACAGGCTCATTGGGAAAATATGCCTTGATGTAGATTTTTGAGAACCGACAAATATGTGCTTCTGGATACATATGTCTGCACTTTACGTGTAAAATGCTATGGGGCAATACCTCCGTATGGATGGCTTTTCTGCTATGACTGGTTTGCTTAGTAGCTCACTGGGAGCGCCACAGGTTTATGAGGTGAAGTGGATTGGTACCAAAACTTACCTACTGTAACCTAACCAAACGGAAAAATACAAAGACAAAGCTCACTTCTAAATCTGGGGTGACTATACACAGGTTTGCTAGGTGTTGTAAGAATGTAAGTCATGTGACATTTACCTTTCCAAATCCTCTTGGGAAAAAGCAAAGTGTATCAACAAACGATCTCAGATGAAGAATAAAAAATAATGAAAACATAGAAGGCAATATCAACAAAAGCAATATGAAGTACTAAAACAAAAGCAATAATGACAGATCGATTAAAACAAAGAACAATGCCTCCACCCGGCAACCAACTCGTTGTTCTTTTAAAAACCTGGCGACCACTCAGATTGGCTGCAGAAGCTGCCACATCACCCAAGATAATGATGATTGACCAATCCTACAGCCAATAGCAATCCAAAAAGGGTGAACCTGAGAAACTGAAAAAGAGGAGTGAGACAGAGAGAACGAGTGTGCGCGTGCGCAAGAGAGAGAAAGAAAGAGAGAGAGAAAGATGCAAAATTGCCACGATGTAACACCCAGGAAAAATAAAACCCAATAAAGCAGTGTGAGGTTTACGATGGCGATGACGACATTTACGATGACAAGCTGGCCGGCTTCTCTCACGAAAAGGATGTTAATATGTGCATAAATGTACACACTGACCACTGGTGGATATATGAGAAATGGCACATATGAGGAAACGAGCGTTCGTATTTGACATTGTCAAAAATGTACAATGAAAAAACCTGCTATACAACATAGTCCACGGTACATTTTTGTTGGTTCTCAAAAATGTTGTCCTGGGCACATATTTCCACTGAGCCTGGGCCTACCTGTTTGTTTACAAGCAAGCACGCAATGACATTATAAATTAAGTTCATTAAAGACCCCTGAACCAGAGACTAACGGAGATGCATTAGCAGTAACTTTCATCAGATATTTTTTGGAATTTACAAAATAAACAAATTTGAAAATAGACTTAGATTGAACAGCTTGTATATCTGTATATCCGTTCAGTCCAATTTCGTAAACTAGATGCATTTTATGAACCAGTTTCATTTAAAGGGATAGTTCACACAAAAATTTAAATTTCATCACCATTTAATCACAGTCAAGTGGTTCTAAACTTTTACGAATTCCTTTCTTCTGTTGAACACAAAAGAATATATTCTGAAGAATGCTGGAAAAAAAAGCAGCTATTGACATTCATAGTAGGAACAAAAAAAATAGTTTGAAAGTCAATGGCTGTTTTTCTCCCTAGCATTCTACAGAATATCTTCTTTTGTGTTCAACAGCAAAAAAAAATTATAAAAGTTTACAGCCACTTGAGTGTGAGTACATTTTTGGGTGAGCTATCCATTTAATGTTTTACTAGCCTGTAGTATACGAATGCAACTCAATTTTAATTTTGGGACAAGCCGTCTCTTTAAGATCATTACATCATTCAGCCATTAATAACACACTGTAAGTCAAGTTTATAATGACAACCAGAAAAGTAAGACTTTGCTTAGTTCTGCACAGATGATTCTTGCACAAATGATTCCCAAAAGGCTCTTTTGAGTGATCCGAGAGTGTATATGCAGGATTCAGCGGGATGCCACTGATCCACTAGCCTGACTTCCTTATTTATAGAGTCTGATTCTCTCACTGGGGATTGCACTCCAGTTGCATGAGCTCGCCCTCCGTTTGAGCCAGTTAGTCTGCTGCATACTGTAGTTTTCACATGCATCATTTCACTCACATTTTAAACAAACATATGTTGTGTAGCATATGCCTTGATTGGATGAAATTTTGCATACTGCACATATTATATGTAATAATGCCTACTGGAGATTATTTGATTTATAGTGTATGATGGGGAAATTATTTAGATTTGTTTTGTCATTTGGTTAAAAAAAAGTGTATAACACATTAAAAATTGTAATATTTAGCACCTTAAAAGCAGCCTTTTTTTAGCTCATGAGGTAACATTTTAAAGTCAAGGTTAATAAGACTTTTAAAATACTTCTCCTGTACTGACCAATAATTTATTTTTTTAATCAAGAATATAGCAAAAACCGTATTATCAGTGTTAAAAACTGCTTGACATTTTTATAGAGGCAGCAATGCATTTTTTCAGGGTTCTTTGATAAGTAAAAACAACATTTATTTTAAATACATATAATTTGTAGCATTATAATGTGCTGTAGGTGAATTGAATAGATGACTATAGTGTATGAGTGTGTGTGTGAATAAGTGTATGAGTGTTTCCCAGTACTAAATTGAGGCTGGAAGTTCATCCGCTGCGCAAAACATGTGCTGGAATAGTTGGTGGATCATTGTGCTATGGCGACCCCTCACAAATGAGGCACTAACCCAAAAGAAAATGAATGAATAAATTATAAATCTCTTTACTGACAACAAAACCTTTAAATGGTGCATATATTGAATAATAAATAGCAGTAAAGTGATTATTTATAACAAATGCAGGCTAAAGTGTGGACACTCACAAGCTTTCCAAGCACTTGGAATGACAATTGAAGAAAATTAGATCATAAGTGCATGATTCACATGATGGTGGTAATATTGTAAAAAACATTTTTATTTAATTATGGCTCTATTACAGGCTTGTCCCTATAACACAAACCAGAAATAGGACACTCCATGCGTTTATTTTTATAAATAGTACATTCTGTAAACAGAAAAATGCACTGATTTTGATATGTTTCATATGTTAAATGCAGCCTATAATAAATAAAATGTCGTCACTTTTTTGATTAACATAAGTTAATGTTTACACTACCTATTTTACATTTATCTATATTGAAAAATTTGTAGCAGAAACGGATTTGTGATTTTAGAATATGTTTTATTTATCTATTCTGAAAACTTTTTAACAGAAAAATGCCCTTATTCCACAAGCTTCTCACAATAGTTTAATGGAATTTTGGCTTATTCATCCTGACAGAACTGGTGTAACTAAGTCAGATTTGTTGGCTGTCTTGCTCGCACAAGTTTTTCAACTTTGCCCACAAATTTTCTATAGGATTGAGATCAGGGCTTTGTGATGGCCACTCCAAAACCTTTTACTCTGTTGTCCTCAAAGCACATTTTAATTTGGCAGTGTGCTTAGGGTCATGGTCTGTTTGAAAGACCCATTTGTGGCCAAGTTTTGATTTCCTGGCTGATGTTGCTGCAGTATTTTTAAATAATGTTCTTTCATCATGATGCCATCTATGCTGTGAAGCAAAACAGCCATACAACATGATGCTGCCGCCCCCATACTTCACAGTTGGGATGGTGTTTCTTGGCTTGTCCCCTTTTTCCTCCAATTGTAACACTGGTCATTATGGCCAAACAGTTCAATCTTAGTTCCATCAGACCACAGGACATGTCTCCAAAAATTATTCTTTTTCCAAGTGTAATTAAGCAAATTGTAATCTGCTTTTTTTTTTTTTATTCCGGCTTGTTGATTTTCCCATGTTGTCACACGAGGATGCCGTGTGTTTGAGGTTTTCCTTAAATACTATTCTACAGCTGTGCCTCCAATTAACTCAAATGTTGTCAATTAGCCAATCAGAAACTTTCAAAACCTTGACATCATCCTCTGAGCTTTTTTAGAGGCATAATAATCTTATTGTATGTAAACTTGACTTTCAAGAAAAGTTATAACAATTTCTCCAAAAATACCTCTCTCATTATTCTGCTATTGAGCATAACAGAAACAAACTTGATAATCCTAACTTACCTAAAAGAGAAAAAGTTTAGTCAAGTTAACATCTGACTTTTTTAAATGGTTATGTGCCTTTTTATACAGTGTATGTAAACTTCTGGTTTCAACTGTATTTTGATCCATTTATTTTTTATTTTTTTAAAAGTTGGATGGCATAACAGCAAAGCAGAAATAATAGACATGTACTAGCACAACAAAAACAAGGCCAATATGTCTGTGAGGCAGATTTGGACATGCCAAAGCCCTGTTTTTAGAGATCAGGTCAATCGTCTGCCCCGTCATCGGCTCGCTATTGTTTTATCTAACTGCGAAAAGCTCCAATTCAGAGGTCGGTAGTAAATTTCGTAATGGCTCACACAAAGTGCGCAGATTGAGGTTTATAGTTTAATAATGAGACATACAGTGTTCTGCAACCCATTCGAGTGCCCTAAAAAAACAGCATCGTAACCCACTTATGACCGCATCACAGACACTTTTGATTATTGTTTTAAAGCGGTGAGTGATTACAACATCGTCCGGCCCTTTCAAGTCAGAATTATTCCTATAACGGGGTTAATCCAAACACTAATGACCGGCCTCATAATAGCAAAAGACAAAACAAAGTGGGTTATGGGATTTGCTTGTCGTTTTCCCAGGGCTTGATTACATTTCATCATGTGTAAGTGATGTAGCTGACCCTGCATGGGCTTTAGTTTGTGTAACCGGTGTAGACTGCAGGACCTCCTTGTCCTCAGGCTGGTTACTGTTGTGCGTCTCTGGAAAAGATTACCTCTGGTGCTTTACTGCTGCTGGGTCACGTTGCAGCTCAATGGGTCTCAGAAAGATCAAATGTGTCTCTGTTCCTTCGGCATAAAGGAGCATTTAGGTTAGGTAACCGTTTCTCACAATGTCTGCATGGTCTTCTCACAGAATTATGCGTTTGGATTTTCGCCCTGAAGCATCTTGTGTTGAAAATGTGACGTTATTAGTGAAACGTACATGTAGAGTTGCTTTTTTTTTTTTTTTCAAATATTTCCTAAACGATGTTTAATAGAGCAAGGAATTTCTAACAGTATTTTCTATAATATTTTTTTCTTCTGGAGAAAGTCTTATTTGTTTTATTTTGGCTAGAATAAAAGCAGTTTTTATTTTTTTAAACCATTTTAGGGTCAATATTAGTAGCCCCCTTAAGCAATATTTTTTATTATTTGTCTACTGAACAAACCATCATTATACAATGACTTTCCTATTTACCCTAACCTAGTTAAGCCTTTAAATGTCACTTTAAATGTCACTTTAAGCTAATACTAGTATCTTGAAAAATATATTTAATACTAGTATCTAGAAAAATATCTAGTAAGATATTATTTAATGTCATCTTCAGCAACGATAAAATAAATCAGTTATTAGAAATGAGTTGTTATAACTATTATGTTTAGAAATGTGTTGGAATAAAAATCTTCTTTCTGTTAAAAATAAAGAGAGAGGCTAATAATTCTGACTTTAACTGTATGCTTCATTTTTTAAGCAAGTACTTTTACTTTTTCAGTGAAGGAAGCAACCTGACACCAGCACACCATTATCCAGACTTCCGGTTCAAGACTTATGCGCCACTGGCTTTCCGCTACTTCCGGGAGCTGTTCGGGATCAAGCCGGATGATTATTTGGTAAACTTTTTTAAATTTGTTGTTGTTATTAGTATATTTATTCTTTGTTTTTGGTGTGAAATGCGCTTTATAAATACACTTAATTTTTAAAATGTTACAAAGGTTTTTTAAAGTCTGTGTGAAATCCATATTTACTATGTGTTTTTCACATAACACACATTGTTAAGCCGCCTTTCCACTGCACACGACAAATGACAAGTGACAGACCGTCTAGTTTGCTACAAAATAATGATGTGCAAAAAGAAAGCCCCGCCCACTACTCAGTTTTTGGTTTTAGTTGGAAGTACATCAACACACCGAAATAAGTCTCAGCAGCTTTTGCTTTACATTTACTTTTAAAAAAAGCAATACAGTTTCTATACTTTTATTCAAGTCAAGTTTTTTTATGTCTTCTATATTGTCCCAACTTTTCCTGATTTGGGGTTGTATTACAATTTAAAACAATACTTTTACTCATCAAGCGTGCATTATATTGATGATAAGTGACAGTAAATACACTGTAAAAAACTTAATCGCAAGAAGTCAAGACAACAAATATTTTGATGTTGCTTTAACTTGTTTTAATATGTTATTCAGTTTCAACAATTTTTTTAAAGTTATAAAAATTTCATGTTTTAACTTTAACTATTTTTTTTGTCAGTTTAATTGATCTAAGTTGAGATGACTAGAAAAGTTCAATAGATTCAACTAAAAAAATTGAGGCAGCAAAAATTTCTTAACAGCATACATTTATTATGTGTCAAGAGTTTTTTTTTAATCAAACTTTTCATCAAAGTATCCTACAAAAATATTCATTGCAGTTTCCATGAAAATCTGAAGCACCACAACTTCTTTCAACATTGATAATAATAATAATAAATGTTTTATGATGATTTCTAAAGTATCGTGTGATACTGAAAATGTTGTTTTGCATCCTTGGAATAAACTGCAGTATATAAAATTAAAGAAAAGTTATATTAATTATAGCAATTTATATAGTAAAAGCAGTCTCTGTGATCGGGGTGACGCAGTGGCACAGTAGGTCCTGCTGTTGCCTGACAGCAAGAAGGTCAGTGGTTTGAGCTTCGGCTGGGTCACTTGGGGTTTCTGTGTGGAGTTTGCATGTTCTCCCTGCGTGGGTTTCCTCAGGGTGCTCTGGTTTCTTCCACAGTCCAAAGACATGCGGTACAGGTGAATTGGGTAGGCTAAATTGTCCGTAGTGTATGAGTGTGTATGAGTGTATGAGGGACAAAGCCGGAAAGAAAAAGAATGATTGAATGAGTCTCTGTGATCATAATATACATCTGTCAAAATCATTTAAAAAATATTACAAACACCAAACTTTGATGATGATGATATGAAGATATAACATCTTCATAATGTCATCATTTTTTTTTCAAAGGGATAGTTCACCCAAAAATGAAAACTTACTATTTACTCAACCCCAAATGGTTCCAAACCTTTGTGAGTTTATTTTTTTCTGTTGAACGCAAAAGAAGATATTTTGAACAAGAAGAAAACCTGTAACCATTGACTTCCATAGTAGGAAAAGCAAGTACCATGGTAGTCAATGGTTTTCAGCTTTTTTCAAAACATCTTCTTTTGTGTTCAACAGCAGAAAGAAACTCGGTTTTGAACAAGTGAAGAGTGAGTAAATGATGACAGAATTTTCATTTTGCATGAACTATCTCTTTAACTTGTTTTTTTTCCACAAATTTCTTTAACTTTGTATACCTCTCATTCTAAATATGCCTGACAGTAATGTTTGTCTACATAACCTATTGTCACACTAAATTAAATTCTGTAAATCATGCCCAAATTGTGTCATAGCAATTATTCATTCATTCATTCATTCTTTTGTTCATTCATTCATTCATTTTCTTTCGGCTTAGTCCCTTTATTCATCAGGGGTCGCCTCATCGGAAAAGAACCACCAACTGATCCAGCATATGTTTTACACAGCGGATGCCCTTCCAGCTGCAACCCAGTTCTGGGAAACGTCCATACATACTTATTTACACATACACTACGGCCAGTTTAGTTTATTATATATATATATTTACTTATAGCGCATGTTTTTGGACTGTGAGGGGAAACCGGAGCACCGAACCAGCAACCTTCTTGCTGTGAGGCGATCGTGCTAACCTCTGAGCAATCGTGTCACCCTCATAGCAATTATCATTTTACATTTTTAATTATAATTTTTTTTACCTGATTAAACAGTTTTACCTCTATATTAATTCCAAAATGCATCCCTTTCCCTAAACCCCCCCCCACCCCCCCCCCCCCCCCCCCAATCTATCCAAGCCATAACAAAGCCCTTTTTGTTTGAAGTAAAAGTTCACTGCAAGCTCGGATCAGGTGCCAGTAAAAGTGACCGAAAGCCCCACTGACCGCTAATAAACTCGCCAACTGTGGTTGGCAAAAAAACCCTGCGTCCTCATTTGTAAATCCCTGGCAGGGATTACAGCGGTTTGGTTTTGATGTTGCCCTGCCGGAGGTGTTGATTTCCCTGCACTGCAACACTCCTGTTTTTTTTTCTGCAGTGTCTCCGCAGCGTCTCTGCAGCTTTCGGAGAGCTCAGTTCTGTGTGTTTGCGGGAGAGGGATGATGCTGATTAGGCGTATGATGTTAATTGCCTCTTCTGCTCTTTGACATCTAATGGCCGCGTAATTAGTCCAGCGGAGCCGTTTCACTCCCAGGTGCCTGAAAGTCTGGTGATCCTGTGCAATTTGCACAACGCGCATTATATCATCATGTGTTATGAATCTGCAGAGCGCCGCCTTGAGCTCACATTAGATTAAGATGTTAATCATAGTGTGCTATTGGTCGTTTTATGATGGTGGTGATGGCTAGGAAATACCTTCTTTATATAATCACAATCAAAAGATGACTTTGGATGTGTGTGTGTGTACACTCTGCATAGGTGCAAAGGAGTTCCTTGTTATTTGCATTTTACTATGGACACACCTAAGAATTCCAGGAAAATCGACATGAAGTGACTTTTTTAGAGTTTTTTTCAGGCTTTTTTTGAGGTTTGGGGTCAGGAAGAGTTTGCAGAAATCGTTAAACATGCATTTTGTTTGATTAAATGTATAGTAAATACAGTACAATTGTGAAAGAATATCATTATTTTATGTTTTAATATATTTTAAAATGTAATTTATTCTGGTTGAATGTCCAGATTTTTAAAAGAAATCTGCAGCCATTGTAATAAGTTCAAGAAACACTGAATGAATGAAACATGAAAAAATATTTCTCACTGTTTAAAGCAGCATTTATCTAAAATAAAAATGTATTTATAACGTTAAATTGGCTTTACTGTTCTTTCTTATTTTGTTATTTAAATTTCAACCAAATTTAATGTGATCTTACTACTGTAAATGAAAGTATTTAAGAAGTCTTACTGATCCCAAAACTGTGAAAAATACCTTGATTGTTTTGACTTGGACCAGTCAGTGTTTAGAAACAAATGTCTGTGTCAAAGTAAATCCTATTTAAATATTTGTTTACATTTTCATTGGTATCGATTTCTTTACCAGCAACAATGACCACCAAAAAGTGGCATCTATAATGCCACTATTTAGTATTGTTTTGTTGTTATTTTTATTCTAATCCAATATTTTCCATAAACTAAAAGCTAATCAGATTTTAATATTGTTGTTATTGGTTATGAATCTGCCGAGCACCGCCTTGAGCTTGCATTAGATTGACATGTTAATTATAGTGTGCCATTGGTTTTTTAATGATCTGTAGGGAATACATTCTTTACATAATGGCATTCAAAAGATGACTTTGTGTGTGTGTACACTCTGCATAAGTGAAAGGGAGTTCCTTGTTATTTGCATTTTACTATGGACACACCTAAGAATTCCAGAAAAATCGACATGAAATGACTTTTTCAGAGTTTTTTTTTTTTCAGACTTTTTTTGAGGTTTGGGGCCGGTAAGAGTTTGCAGAAAACATTAAACATGCATTTTGTTTGATTAAATGTATAGTAAATACAGTAAAATTGTGAAAAAATCACTATTTTATATTTAAAATGTAATTTATTCTGGTTGAATGTCCAGATTTTTAAAAGAAATCTGCAGCCATTGTAATAAGTTCAAGAAACACTGAATATTATTATGTTGAAAATATTGATAAAAAATATTTCTCACTGTTTAAAGCAGCATTTATCTGAAATAAAAATGTATTTTTAACATCATATTGGCTTTACCGTTCTTTCTTATTTTGTTATTTAATTTTCAACCAAATTTAATGTGATCTTACTACTGTGAATGAAAGTATTTAAGAAGTCTTATTGATCCCAAACCTGTGAAAAATACCTTTATTGTTTTGACTTGGACCAGTCAGTGTTTAGAAACAAATGTCTGTGTCAAAGAAAATCCTATTTAAATATTTGTTTACACTTTCATTGGTATCAAATTCTTTACCAGCCACAATGATGACCACCAAAACCAACTTTTTAAATTAGAGTATATTTTTATAATTCCACTATTTTGTATTTTCGTTGTTGTTTTTTATTCTAATCTAATATTTTCCATAAACTAAAAGCTAATCAGATTTTAATATTGTTGTTATTGGTTATGAATCTGCAGAGCGCCACCTTGAGCTCGCATTAGATTAAGTTAGTTAAGTGTGCCATTGGTTGTTTAATGATCTGTAGGGAATACCTTCTTTACATAATGGCATTCAAAAGATGACTTTGTGTGTTTGTACACTCTGCATAAGTGAAAGGGAGTTCCTTGTTATTTGCATTTTACTATGGACACACCTAAGAATTCCAGAAAAATCGACATGAAGTGACTTTTCAGAGTTTTTAAAAGTTTTATGAGACTTTTTATTCGAGGTTTGCGGTCAGTATGAGTTTGCAAAAGTCATTTAAGATGCATTTTGTTGAATGAAATATATAGTAAATACTGTAAGATTGTGAAATAGTGTATCAATTTAAAATTTTAATATAATGTTCCAAAATTTGATTTATTCTTGTTGACTGTCCAGATTTTTTTTTATAAATCTGAAACCATTGTAATAAGTTGCTTAACACTGAATATTATATTAAGTTGAACACAGTTAGAAATATTATTATTATTAGAATTATTAGTCCCCCTTTGAATTTTTTCCTAAATAATGTTTAACAGGGCAAGGAAATTTTCACTGTGTAATAATAAAATTAATAGTAGCAATAGTAATACCAGAACGGAAAACAAAATAACATTTAATCAAAATAACCCAATGGATTGTTAAAATAACCCATAGTTTGGAAAAATAAATATATTTGTATCCATTTCTCAATGAATATAGGTCATGTATTTGGTGCATTTAAACAAAACAGATTAAGTAAACAGATATAATTATTAAAATAATATTTTAGTTACCGAACACATTTAGAAATAAAAAGATTATACCATTAAACTCAAGAAAAATATTGCAAAATAAACTTTTCCATTTTTTTGCTTCTCTTGATTTTTCCTGTTTTAAATTTGTATTTAATATTTTTTTATAACATAAATTTGGTTGTACTAGTTTTTGAACCGTTATCGTACTCTGTTAAAATAGTTGGGTTAAAAATACCCCAACATATAACCCAACTATAGGTTATTATAGCACCTTCCCAACTAAAGGTTATTTTAACCCAATGCATTGGGTTATATGATTTAACCCAAATGTATTGGGTTATTTTGATTAAATGTTTTTTTTTTTCATTCTGGTATAACTATTGCTACTATTACTACTACTATTCATTTTATAATTATGTCTGCATGTGTAAATAAATAACCAACAGTATTCAAAAATATTGAAAATGCTTTTTTTTCCCATTACATTTTAGTTCCAGACATCAAGAATCACAAACAATGAAGAAACAGAACAAAGTGCAGACGGTTATAAACTATGCAAGCAGAAAATCATGTGCAGAATATGGAGCTGTGTGTGCTGTAGAGGTTGTCCAGCAGCTGCAGCAGGCTTCACTCATGCAGTGTCCACACTCCACAATGTACAATACAGCTTAACCACATCCAAACACTTCTAAAAGATGGTCTTGGATGGTGAAACGGATATAAAAACACAACACAGAGAGGTCATTTGTTAAAAAAACAACAACATTATTGCGTTATAGCTTAAACTTTATAAAGCAAAAACAGCATTACGCATGAATATTAATACAGCTGTTTTGTGTCAGTTAAGTCAGTCAGTCAGATCAAATTTTTAACCCAACTGGTTGAGTTATTAAGTAAATAATCAAAAAAAGGTTCAAAAATAAACCAACAAAGCACCAAATATTTAACCCAACTGATTGAGTTATTAATAAATAATCTAATAAAGGTTAAAAATAACCCAACAAAGCACCAAATATGTTTAACTCAACCATTGGGTTAAAAAAATAACTTTTTTTAGAGTGTAAGTTATTTTGTTAGATAAGCTCCAGTACTTCAGTACTGACTAATCTACACTGTAAAAAATGAATCCGTAAAATTTACGGTAAAAAAATGGCAGCTGTGGTTGCCAGTACTTTACTGTTAAAAACACGGTACAAACCGTAAAAGTAATTTCTCATTGTCACGGTAAATTACCGTATTTCATTAATTTATAGAGGTAATATGTCTGTATTTTGAATGACCAACATCTACACATCTTCTGTTACACAGTTAGACATGTTAGCACACCCATATGCAGGAGGAGATGAGGAAGTTACATAATGAACCAAAGCTTATCAACATCAACTTTTCCCACAAGCAGAGAGGTGTATTAATATATAGAAGGTGCTTAGTGTCATTCACACAGCTACCAAACACCAGTGTGGTAACACGCATAAAATTAAAGTCATGAAATAAACATTGTTTATCAATATTAGATGTAACATAAATCTCTAATGTACATAACTGATGGGGAAACAACTAAAAAGATCCATAGTAATGTCAACAAAAAGTATAAAAAGTGATGTTCCATACAGGGAATTCTGGGAAAGTCAATTTACGGTTATTCGCCATATATATTAAGGAAACATACCGTTAACCAGGTTATGGATTTTGACTGTAGCATTTTTACAGTTTTTTACCTTTGAAATCACAGCCATTTTTTACTGTGCAATGTCTATGCACAAATATAATATTGTATAGCTTCCTATTAAAAATATGAATTTAAAAGAGATTTGCGAGGGTGTACTTATATATGCTGGGCATTGTATATTGTTTTGTTGTGTTTATATGCACTAGAAGTTGATCAGTTATTGTGTTTTCAAGTCATTCATACAGGGCAGTGCTTTTGCGCAGTTAAATGGTACTAAAAATTCAAATATCTTTCCAGTAGGAACAAGAAAAGAAAATGCAAGTCTAATTTACAGTGTGAAACGGTCAGCCGAGATGAAAGAAAGTGATGTTTCATGCCCTCCTGAGTTTGTTGTGCACGTTTTTTTGTGATTATGCAGATACGGCAGAGGAAATGCAAGCTAATTAAGAAGCTTCACACTCACTCGCACACATGGGGCGGCATGCAGTCCAAATGCAAATGTCCATGTGTTTGGGCTGGACGTGCAACGTGACTGTTGACTTTCATTAGGCAGGCTTGAATGTGAGTGTCTGGCCCGGGTTCAGCTCTGTCCTCCTGCTGCTCCTCAGGGAAAACTCACCACAAATGTTTGCTTTAAGACCTCATAATGTTCGGTAGGTTTTTTTTACGCAACTCTAATTAAACCATGGGACTTCCAGCCAGTAATAAGCTGCTCTTTCAGTCTTTAAGGCATACTGTTTTGTTGTTGTTGTTGTATTTTTTTTTTTGTTGTTGATAATAAAGTACAGTAAAATGTGCTGTGGAGTTTATCATAAATATGAATTGGTGATTGGGGGTTTGTGCTTGCGTATATTTGAAGCACAGGTAAAAACAGATGGACTTTTGTAAAGGTCCCAGAGTACCTCATTATAAATCACACACACTGTTTTTCTGGAGTCTTGCACAATTCAGACGTCTTCTGCTCTTGATCATTGCATAACGCACGACAAGACCACACGGTTTCTTTTAGCTCCCTGGTTTCAATTATTTAAAAAAAAACACTTTAATAAGCCTTGAACCAAAAATATAAATTGTAAAACTAAAACTCTAATTTGTAATTTTTATACAACTTCAACTTCATAACAATATATATATATATAACAATATATAACAATATATATATATATATACACATACATACATATACATATACAGTTGAAGTCAGAACTATTAGCCCCCCTTTTTATTTTTTTACCCCAATTTATGTTTAACGAAGAGAAGATTTTTTTTCAGCACATTTCTAAACACAATAGTTTTAATAACTCATTTCTAATAACTGATTTATTTTATCTTTGCCATGATGACAGTAAATAATATTTTACTAGATATTTTTCAAGACACTTCTATACAGCTTAAAGTAACATTTAAAGGCTTAACTAGGTTAATTAGGTTAACTAGGCAGGTTAGGGTAATTAGGCAAGTTATTGTATAATGATGGTTTGTTCTGTAGACTATCAAAAACAAATATAGCTTAAAGGGGCTTATAATTTTGACCCTAAAATGTTTTTTAAAAAATTAAAAACTGCTTTTATTCTAGCCTAAATAAAATAGATAAGACTTTCTCTAGAAAAAAAAATTATCAGAAAAACTCTGATAATGTCCTTGCTTTGTTAAAAATCATTTGGGAAATATTTTTAAAAAGAAAAGAAAAATTCAAAGACGGGCTAATAATTCTAACTTTAACTCTACATATGTGTATATATTATTTACTCAAAACTCATGTTCCAAATGAGTTGCTATCTTAAATTATTAGGTTGAAACAAATAAAACCAACTAAAACAATGTGATGGAATACTTATTGATTATATAAAAGAACATATTTTATATGACATAAATGACATAAAAACATAGAAATTATAAAAGTATTGTTAAAATGATTATTACAATTTATACTATATATTGTTTACTACTTGCAGAGCTCAGCATATATGAGAACACCCCTCACAAATCTCTCTTTTAAATTCATATTTTTATTAGGAAGCTATACAATATTATATTTGTGCGTATACATTAGATTAGTCAGTACTGAAGCCAAATCTAAAGCTAATCTGACAAAATAACTTGCAATAATACTCCAAAAACTAGTACAGCCAACTTTATATGTTATAGAAAAATATTAATTACAAATTTTAAAAAAAAGAGGAAGAACCAAGAGAAGCAAAAAATAAAAATTGTTGAAATGTTGTAGGTTGTATTTTTTATTTTTTTTGCTTGAATTTAATGGTATTATCTTTTAATTTCTAAATATGTTTGGTTACTAAAATATTATTTTAATAAATATATCTGTTTGATAAATCTGTTTTGATTAAATCTACCAAATACATGACCTATATTCACTGAGAAATGGAAACAAGTATTCATTTTCAAAATGGGGTGTACTCAATTATGCAGAGCACTGTATGTATATATTGTCACTATTCTTAAATGAGTCTTTATTTAATATTTTATACAATTTAAATGTATTTAACTTTAAAACTAAAAGGTAATAAATTGGAAATAATGGAAATAACTATTAAAGTAACTATATATTATTTTATTTTAATGAGAAGTTTATAATATATATGTATCTAAATATATATCTAAATAAATATCAAATATAGACTGAATTTGGCTTCTGGATCAATGTTATTCTCTATCTTTTTCACATGTATTTTTCTAATGGATTGTTTTTGTTGTAATCCTGCAGTACTCCATTTGTAAAGAGCCCCTGATTGAGCTGTCTAATCCGGGCGCCAGCGGCTCGCTCTTCTACCTGACCAGCGACGATGAGTTCATCATCAAGACTGTCCAGCACAAGGAGGCCGAGTTCCTGCAGAAACTGCTCCCTGGATACTACATGGTACGTCTTAGTAAACTCAGAAGAGTCATTTGTCTATAGCAGCTCATATAGGCTCATGTAAACTTATATATTTTTTAGACTTTTAGCATTTTTTGTTTGATAATGCTGCTGTTGGAGCATGACAAAAAGTCTGCAAAGTCACAAAATACAAAGTAACTGTCTGTTTCATGATACTGGGATTTCCAACTTTCAAAATGATACCGTGAAAAATATTGATATTTGATACTGTTGTTGATACTGTGGAGGACAAACTCCACAACATTAAAAGTATGCAATTGATGCTCAAAGGAAGAAAAAAACACTAAATCATATAATGCTTACACAAGGTATTTTCTGATTAGAAACAAAAGTGTTACAATTTTAATATTGTTATTAATTATTCATCTTCCTTCTGTTGAGGAGAGAGCATGAGAGAGCAAAGCCACTACTGATACTAAACAAAAGTAAGATTGTCTAATTTCAGTATCAATAGTTTACGATATATTGATATTTTTCCATATATCGATATTTTTGACAACGCTAATTCTTTAAATCAGTAAACACTGATTCAAAACCCCCTTAAATCTTTTCATTGTTAACACACATGTCCAATATTATATGAACCATTTTTGTGTGCTTCTGATTGGTAGTTTTTTGTGTTTGTTTGCTCTGAAATCCATAAATCAAGAGTTTTGTTTATTAATTTTTAATCTCCCTTCTGGTGAGAGGAGAAAGTGTGAGAGAGCAAAGCCAGTAACGATACTAACCAAAAGCAAGATTTAGCTTTTTGTGTTTGTTTGCTCTAAAAACTATAAATCAAAGTTGACAGGGCTCAGATGTTTTGTTTGCTGGAGTAAATGAGGCACAATCTGTAAAGGAACTGCCCCCTTTAGAAAGGTGGGGCGGGGAGTAGCAGCTCATTTGCATTTATAGAGATATATGCGAAACTGCCTAAAATAGGGTATATAAAGTGTGATATATTAAGTGATATGTGAGGTATTTTGACCTGGAACTTTAAACACATTAAAAAAAATAATGCATAATAGGCTTTAAATAAATCTATTTCTCCTTCTCAGAACCTCAACCAGAACCCCAGGACGCTCCTACCCAAGTTTTACGGCCTGTACTGTGTTCAGTCTGGAGGAATCAACATCCGTCTCGTGGTTATGAACAACGTCCTGCCGCGATCAGTGAAGATGCACTACAAATATGACCTCAAGGGCTCCACATACAAGAGACGGGCGTCACGAAAAGAGCGGGAAAAGCCCTGTCCCACATATAAGGACCTAGACTTTGTGGACATGCATGATGGCTTGTACTTTGACCCAGAGACATATAATGCCCTGATGAAGACACTACAACGGGACTGTCGGGTGAGTTATACAGTATTTTGTCCTTTTACAAAGAAGCTGTGAGTGGTGAGCAAAGTTGCGCACAATTCTAGTTTGTTTTTAATGGTACTCTATGTAAAGCAACTTGAAAACTAAGTGGCTTAGGGAATCACGAGGTGGACACTTGGGGTTTAGAGATTTATTTGCTTAATTTAATCATACAATAGGGTATTATGACCGTGACAGAGGGCTCTGTCACGATCACGACAGTAGGTGATTTCATTTACACACAGTGTAATATCCATCAGTGATTCTGCCGTTCCCAACCCTTTGGTGCACATAAAGGTTGGGACAATGTTACCATTGCATATATAACGCACACACATACATTCACTCATCACCACAATTCCCAAAAAACACACACACAGACACCAAATACATTTATTGAACTTATCTGAAAGTGTCATGGCTCGTCTTTCGTTGTCTGCTTGTGTGGTGTTGCAGTTCAGGTTACCAGAAGCAACTGGTGAACTCCAGTAGTGGGCTAGAAAGCTTGATATTGCTAAACTTCTGTAGCACGCATGCGCAATCGCTCTGGTAACTGGACTGTCCTAATGTAATCCTGTTTTGGGGGAGAGCTGGGAATACAAAACCAGAGTGATAAGAAGATACATGAATTGACACATATATTGGTCAATATGGTCAATAAATCCAAATTGGATGTATTATTATTGATAAATACACCTGTTATGATAACAGGTGCAATATTTTAATACTCACCCAAGGCGAATTTTGTAGACCTCATGTGGGAAGGGGCATCTAGTATATAAGCCATGCCTGTTGGCTGTTGAAAAGGGTCTTTTGCAGTTTGAGGCAAATAGTGCTAGTGTGCAGCACCTTTTTGTGAAGGTTGAACAGCAAAGTGCAGTAACTTCTATATGTACAGTAGAAGTCAGAATTATTAGCCCCCTTGAATTATTAGCACCTCTTTTTATTTTTTTCCTAATTTCTGTTTAATGGAGAGCAGATATTTTCAACACATTTCTAAACATGATAGTTTTAATAACTCATCTCTAATAACGGATTTATTTTATCTTTGCCATGATGACAGTAAAAAATATTTTACAAGATATTTTTTAAGACACTTCTATACAGCTTAAAGTGACATTTAAAGGCTTAACTAGGTTAGTTAGGGTAACCGTGCAGCTTAGTGTAATTAGGCAAGTTATTGTATAACAGTAGTTTGTTCTGTAGACTATCGAAAAAAAATATAGCTTAAAGAGGCTTTTACAAAAATAAAAGCTGCTTTTATTCTAGCCGAAATAAAACAAATAAGATTTTTTTTCCAGAGGAAAAAATATTATCAGACATAACTGTGAAAATTTCCTTGCTCTGTTAAACATCATTTTGGAAATATTTAAAAAAAAAGAAGAAAAAAATTTGAAGGGGGCTAATAATTCTGACTTCAACTGTATATCTTTATTTTCTTGTATGTTTGTTTGTTTGGAGAATTTTTTTCCTTTATTTTCCTGATACTGTAATTTTTTTTCTGATATCTTTTGTTCATATTTATGAGCAGTTTTTAAATGGTGAAAGTGCTTTTGCGGCTCCGCCATATTTTATTTTATTTTATTATATAAATATTTTTTTGTGACCCATATTCCATCACGCCTCGTCACAGTGACAAATCATGCGCTTAAAGTAAATGTATCAAATGGATTTTTTTATTGTTTTTGAAAGAAGTTAACACTTTCATTCAGAGAAGACACATTAAATTGATCAAGTAAAGACTTTTGTAATATATTTTTTACAAATCTAAATGTTGTTTTGGACTTTCACAGTAATATATATTTTTATATATATTTTTTGTAAAGCTTTTTTCATTGCTAATAAACAGAAATGTTCTCGGAGCCGCAAATCAGAACAGAAGATAGCATAAATAGTTTTCTGTGTCTTTTTGCTCTGAAAACCCTAAATCGAGAGTTAAAATTTGACAAGGTTTAAATGTTTTGTTTGCTGTTGCTGGAGTAACTGAGGCACAAGTTGTAAAGGCACTGCCCTGATCAAGCTCATGTGCATTTAAAGAGATAAACGTGTTTGTGCTTCTGCCAAAAATAGGGTATTTAGCAAGGCATAATAAATGGTCTGTGAGGTATTTTGACTTTAAAACATTAGAGATATAATATATTTTGTACAAAAAATATAGTACAAAAATCTTTATTTTAATTTACTGTAATGAGCGACTTCATGTGACATTGAGGACGTGCCTTATATAAAACAAAGACATTTTAATTTTAATATACAAATACATATAATACATATTTCAAATATTTTCTAAGTGATGTTTAATAGAGCAAGGGATTTTTTTTGTGAGTAATTCCAATGATATTTTTCTTCTGGAGAAAATCTTATTTCTCTTAGTTTGGATTGGCTGCAGAACAAAGCACACTGGTCCAATGGATTGCCTAGTTAAGTTAAGCTAGTTAACTCTTTAAATTACACTTTAAGCTGAGAACTTGTATGTTGCAAAATAAGAGGTAAAATATAATGTACTGTCATCATGGCAGAGACAAAAGAAATGATTAAATGTTAGAAATTTTTTTCTTAAAATTTCACAGGAGTGCTAATAATATTGTCTTTAACTTTACATTAAAATAGAAAACATTCTATTTAGAATGTTCTAACATTCTATTCATTCTACTTAGAAGTCACTCTAAGGTAAACAAATATTGCAGAAATATGTGAGGTGGCGTGGGTTTCCTCATGCGCAATAGGGTAACTGAGTAAACTAAATTGGCTGTAGTGTATGTGTGTGAATGCAAGAGTGTATGAGTACTGGGTTGCAGCTGGAAGGCATCCACTGTGTAAAACATATGCTAGATAAGTTGGCGTTTTTTCCCGCTGTGGCGACCCCTGATGAATAAAGGGACTAAGCCGAAGGAAATTAAAGAATGAATGAATGAATCATTTTTGATCAAATAAATGCAGCCTTAATGAGAACAAGAGATTTTCAATATTAATAAATAAGTCTTACCAACCCCAAAGCTTAAATAACTGTGTACACTGAGAATGCTGTAATTGCTTGTTGTCTCGGACTTTCAACAAGATTAAAAAAACGAAAATTACATAAACACTTAAGGCAAAAGCACCCATTAAACACATTAAAACACCACAGATAGACATCAACAATCACAACCACTGTACCATCGGCTAACTAATCTTTATTGGAATCAAATTTGCTCCTACATGACAGGAAAGGTCAAGTGGGACAATTATATTCACCCTTTTGCATATTGCCATAAAAAAACACATTGGGTGGCTCAGGGGTCAACAATGTTGCCTTACAACAAGAAGGTCACTGGTTCGAGTCTCAGCTGGACCAGTAGGCATTTCTGTGTGGAGTGTTCATGTTCTCCCCTTGTTGCCGTGGGTTTCCTCAACAAGTCCAAAGATATGTGTTATAGTTGAATTGGGTAAGCTAAATTGTTCGTAGTGTATGTGTTTGAATGAGTGTGTACGGGTGTTTCCCAGTGATTTGTTGCAGCTGGAAGGGCATCCGCTGCATAAAGCATATGCTGGATAAGTTTGCGGTTCATTCCGCTGTGGCGGCCCGAGATTAATAAATGCACTAAGCTGAAAAGAAAATGAATGAATGAAAGTCTCACTAACCCCAAAGCTTAAATAATAGTGTACATGGAGAATGCTGCAATTGCTTGTTGTCTTGACCTTTCAACAAGATCACAAAAACAATCATTACATAAACTCTCATGAGGCAAAAACACCCATTAAACACATTAAAACACCACAGATAGACATCAACAATCACAAAGCCACTGTTTATAACTAATCTTTATGAGGATCAAATTTCCTCTTACATGAAAGGAAAGGTCAATTGGTACAATTATATTCATCCTTTTGCATATTGCCATGAATAAAACCACAAGCTGGGTGGCTTAGGGTTTAGCACTGTTGTCTTACAGAAAGAAGGTAGCTAGTTCGAGTCTCAACTGGACCAGTTGGCATTTCTGTGTTGAATTTGTCTGTTTGTTTGGGTTTCCTCCTGGTGCTCCGGTTTCTCCCACAGTCCAAAGACATGAACTATAAGTGAATTGGATAAACTAAAATAGGCCGTAGTTTATGAGTGTGTTTGTAAATGTGAATATGCTGGAATAGTTGTGGGTTCATTCTGCTGTGAGACCCCTGATAAATAAGGGACTAAGCTGAAAGTAAATGAATGAGTAAATGTACCAAAAATCCATCAGATAAACTTGTGTAGGATTTAAAAAAAAAGAGTATAACATATTCAAAAGACTGCACTGAGATTAATTTGTTTTATTTTAATATTTATTTCATGTTTTTCAGTAAGTAAAAAGCTTTCTAGACTGTAAAAATGTAAAATGCTTGGTTCCACACATTTCCTTTTTTTTGTCTTAACATGAATCAATTATGTTAACTTAATTGTTTTTACAAGTTTTAGTTGATTGAACATAAGACATTTAAGTATTTCCCAAAAAAAACTCAAGAATTGTGTGGATTCAACTCATTTAAAATAAATACTTTAAACAACCAGCAAAAGTCATTTCTTAAGTTTAAAAATGTCCTTTGGATTTTCCAAGATTTTATATATAAACCTGCATTCTCTTTTTTTTTTTTACCACTGACAGTCCCTCTAATTAGCCGTAAATATGTTTAGTCTCATCCTCATGCACAAGTACCCTTAAGACTCCACTGTTTCTCAGAAAAAAAGATCATGATAGTCTTCAACTGTGCAGTCGCTTATTAACAGATTCAAAATGTGCTGAGTGGCAAACCTCTGCGCTCAGCTGGGAAACAAACCGCATAAATCCAGTCTGGCATTCCTTTCTATTTCAGAAAGATCAGGCTGTTGACATGGTTCACTAAATATTATTGTTTAACGCATGATTTTTTTTTTCTCTCATCTACAACATTATTTGAAACAGTCAGAAAGTATAAGCGTTTCTACATTCACAATCAGTAAACATTATCAAATGTCTATGAATATAAATGCGGGAAATTTGGAG